TTAGACTGGATATAAGAAAAAAAAATCTTTATGATGACAAGTTTAAATGTTTCTTTGGATTTCGAGGAAGTAGTAGCTTTGGAAGCTTGGTTTTGAATTAAAAAAAAAACCAAACCCACAAAACAGCAGTATTAACTCCACACCAGCAGAGGGAAACACAACCTCAAGAAAACTAACAGCCTCTTGGGAGATGTTTCTCACCCATCACATCCACTGAAATGGACTGATTTAGGCAGGGATAAATTAGATCTATCGTGATGTGGTAGAATATGCCATCTTGGATTCTGTATTTACTACGTACATGACAGAARTAAGTAGAAGTGATCTCTGCTTTGAGATATAATACAGGATTCAGACATCTCAGGCTTGATTTTTTTCCCACGTTTGTAAGTGCTTCCTACTCTTTGTTAAGTTAATGGGCTCAAAGTGCACTTTGGGCAAAAGTGCACTTTGCAAAGTAAGATCCAAGTCTAACACAGTTAGAAGTGACTTATGGATGYTGGAATTCACCTCTTTCACCTTTGAAGATGCCATTCAAACACCAGTTATTGGTAAATACCTGTGACAAAATCACATCTGGAACAGACACATTTGSCAGTTCTTCTCATACACTGGTGAGAAAAACAAACCCTGATGGGCCACACCCTTTCTATGCAAAAGACAAGTGCAGGGTTAGGATAGGTTTTATCAGAAGTTCAGTGACAGGGRAGCATTGGTGCCCTGAGGAGGTGTATCCAAAACACTGGGAGGGTTTCCAAAACTAATGGGGAAAATGGGAATTGTAGAAAAAACTTCCAAGAGTAGGATTGCATATCAGAATGAATTTCACTTCTCTGAAAGCACTTCACCATTCTGGGTTCACAACATCTGCTTCCAAATCCCTCCAAATCAGCTTGCTTCTCATACTCASTGTTCCAGCTCCTAAGGGTTACATCTGTTAAAGGACACTTCCAAAAACATGTAATTAAAAGATGCTGAACTCCTCCAGGCGACCAAAGCAACACATTATGACCTGCTTGCCAACTCCATACAATCAAAACAATGCACCACAGTGTGTTCTGCTCCAAGGGACACCGAATGCAGTGACATTACACCCCAATCATGTGGGCTAAAGGAAATMGATGGAAATTTAATCAAAGTTGATRGCTATGACTGGTAATTTTGCAAGATTTGGRTGCCTTAAGAACATATTTGACAGTGGGTCTGCACAGTGTCCTCAATGCTAAATTCCTGTGGCTGCATCCTTGCTTTTGTTGCTGGCATTTTCAGCAGCACGTAGCTCACTGGAGGCCCTCTATGCAACAAAAACTGCACTTAAGCCTGGGCAGGTGGGTCCCTGCTGCCCTTCCTGTCCTTGCACAATTGTTCAAGAGCACTTCTACCTGCTAATGTGGTGTCACTGGCAGTAATTCCATATAGGAGGGTGAAAAATAGGACACACACAAAGAATAGTGGTCAGCCAACAGACAGAATCTTGGTAGTTTTTCCATCCAATGGACACTACAGCATAATTGACAGCTGTCACTGCACCACAGACGAGTTACAACTCGTAGTTACTGACAGGCTCTTTTCCTGTCTCCTGCCACCTGGTCACCTGCTTTGGCTACGCACCTTCCAAAGCAGGCTCATCTTTTGGAACAGCCTACAGTAACAAATGTTCAATGCTGCTTTCACCTCCATGAGTAACTAAACTTCCAAGAAAAACAGCTAACGGTGTAAAAACCAGCAGGGGCTACACACCAATGATGCAAAATGCCTGGCACAAAGGGACATTAGCCACAGCCCATGAAACTGAGCAGAAAAATGTGATTCTGTGCCCCCTCCCCATCCTCTCGGGCAAGGTAACAGACATACAGATACCTTAAAAACAGTGGCCAGTCTCAAGATCTTAATTCAGTTGCAGGAAACAAATCTKCAACAGATAAAAGCTGCCGACCTTGGAAATTAAGCAAAAAAGCCACCAACCAAATCACAGTGCAAAATGGTATCTCAGTAGAGCAATGGGATGAATAGGAGTAGCGTTCCAAGAGCAAAGAGTCATCAGGAACCCCTCTTACCATTTTACTACTACACCTGTCACCTGCATCTAACTGAGGCTGTATGCCTTTAACATCTCCTACCCGAAGTGACTCCATGTGACTCTGATATTCTGATAATATCAGAACCAGTGGTGTTGTAAGTTACACATGCACCCCTAACTAAATCTGGAAATTCAGATACTGAAAAACACTTTCTTTCCTTCCCTCTACTGGGCCTCCTCTCCTGTTTCAGGGGTTGCTTGTTCCAGAATGAAGTTTCATAACTGGGCTRCAATTCATTTCCATTCCCTGCTCACAAATTCAGCTGTTTTCAAAATACATGAGCTGTTACTAAGACTGGGCTAAGACAAGAGATCCCCAGTCCAAGCCACAAAAGTATTCAGGCTGCARAGAGCACTTTGAATGGTTTTGAGTACTTCTTCCCTCAGAGTCTAACCTTGCAAATAGGACCACAGAAAGCTGTGCAGAGGGATGTTACAGGGAAGGCTAAGCAGATACTCTTCCCAGTAACACAGCACTGTCTACAAAGGTGGAAAGAAGAGAGGAGAAAACTGTGGAGGTTCTTTATTGCTCCAAAAGCCCAAGATCTCTACCCTACCTCATCCCCACAGCAAAGGTCCATTAGTGCCAGCGTAGCCATAAGGGATACTGTCCTTTCCTTTCCTGCTTCCTCTTGTCATAATTTCATCCCGCTAGAGTCAAGCGCTGTTATTGATAAGCTGATGATCTTGGATGTTTAACAGGGATGCTAGAGAGCAGCATACCAATGTTTTCTCTTGGAAGAACTTCACTATATCCCTTTCTGTCTCTTTCTCCTGAATCTTGGGGGCTGTAGGGAAGAAGCTGCAGGTATATTACAGACAGCTCTGGCAGCTGCTATATACGCTCTCGAGGAAGGAAAAGATGGGCAGAACTAGAAGGAAGACTTTTRCCTTCATTAGTAATCTTCAGTAGTGTAGTTACAAAAAACACAAAATCATATTCTTTTTTTTTTTTTTTAATGGTGAGGAAAATATGGAGGTGTACTCCATCTCTGACAGAAACTCTTTCTTATGTGTTTAACATTATTTTGGAGCCCAGTCACACTTAGTCAACACCCTTGCATCAACTGGGGCAGTAGAACGAAAGCAGATGAAGGCAAACATACAGGCAAACAAGATGCTTGCCTGAATCTCAGCACCAGGCATGTGCAAAGCACAGAAGAGCACAGCAGTGCTGACCCTGTAATCACGGATCTCCCTGAGTGCCCATGTCTAGGATGAAGTGCACAATCCAGGCAGCAGTGCAGGGTTGAGCTTATCAGCCCGTGCTCTACTGACTGGCCTGTGGACCACCAGCTGAACTAAGGGGAACAGTGCAGGGAAAAAAGCACACAATRGCAGCCTCTTTCCCAAGGATCCATCCTTGAGGCTTTAAGGTGACCTGGTCATTGCACTGCAAGCTCTCCCTTCTCAACATTGCCACTGCAGCAGGGGAAGCCTCCAAARCACTGTGTCTGGAAAAATACTGAAGTGATGACAACATGGGTTGAGAGTCAGAGATGATGATGCGATGTCTGGTTCCAAACCTGGATTTTGCAGATCACCTAGAGGTAAATGCACAGTGATAAACAAAGTTGTCTGGACAGGGAAAGAGTGGATTGGGGAAGCAACCAAGGTGTTAGGGCAAAATATAAGGAAAATGACCAAGAAAAATAAAAAAGACAGTTTTTTAAATCAAAAACATAGCTGCCTGTTTACRTCATGCACAACTGGGAATGCAGGCCAGACAAATTACAGAGGTTTTACAGATCTAATGCTAAACAAAATTACAATCTCTCTCCAAGTTTGGCCTCAATACAAATATATCCCACCCCAAGATCTCATCACACTAAGCAAAGCAGGGTTTTACAAGTACTCCATTTCTGTAGCTGGCACAACAGCATAATTCCAATTAATAAGAAATGCAGATGTGCAAAAGGAACTGTTTGTACCCTAATCATCACAGCACAGGTCTGTGTTATCACTATGGAACTATTATTGCTCTGTTTTCACTAAACTGTACAAGTAATATCAAAATACTCTGTTATGAATATCCAATTACTATTTCATTGCTGATACCCAGTATTTTTAAATACAAAAGAAAACAAAACATGACATCGACAGATTCTTGACCGTAACTCTTGATTTTGTGCTTTTAAGTGAAGAAAAGATGGATTGCAGAACCAATCCCTCACAACAAAGATAGACAAATAAGTGCCAAAGCCCGGAACTGTCTTCTCAGTATTGCAATTTGCTAACTCYCACTAATTATTAAGACATTACACAGTGATAAACTTATTTTAATTTCTATTTTACTTCTTTACACATTTAGAGCCCTGAAATACCAAAAGGAAACATGTAGTAACAGAATATTTCTCACTCTGAAAAAAGGAAAACACACTTTTACAGTTATTCAAAGAACTGAGTAAGAAATATCCTTAAGCTACCATGTGTGTGTGCTTGGGACAAGGACAAGAACATACATGGCCAGTTACGAGTAGAAGACCATGGGAAAAAAAAAAGAGAAAAAGAAAAAAAAAAAGACTATGAAGACAGGAACAAACTTCAGGCAGAACAAAAAATACTGCTGAATATCCACAAAGAAAATAAGATAACTGAAATAGTGACAGGGCCTTGAAGCAGCTTAGCAAGATGGAATATATGAGACTGAGAAGGGATTTAGGAAGTTCTCAGCTGCTCTACTTTTTAAACATGAAATATTTAGGCAGAAAAGCACTTATGGAAGCAGCAGCATATGCATCAGCACATGAACAGGCACCGAACTGCAAGAGAGGAAATGGCCACTACAGTGTAGGGGCAGCCATTCCACTGCTTACAGAGGTACCAGAGGCAGAGTGTGACACAGATTTGCAAAAAAAACCCAACTAACTGCAACTACCAAAGCGAAAGAATAGCTGCAGACAGGCTATCAGCCACATTCCTAAGTTACATGAGCATGTGAATAGCTAGAACAAGCACACAGAAATCAGGAATTAAAATGTACATGAAATGAATATCCAAGAAATGAACAAGAAGAATGTCAAGGGTAAGAGGTATTTACTGATAATGTACCAACTCAGTATCTTGCTTTCCTTTTTTGTTCACTTCTTAAATTTTGTACCAATTTCAAGTAGGCATGTCATGGAAATACTATCAGTGTGTGTCTAATTCTTTACAGTGCTTCACTAACAGCAAACCAAGAGAGCCATGTGCAAAATCTATAACCTACAGTTTTAAAGACTGGCTCCCTTCAGAAACTGTAGTAAGAATGTACATGCCCACRTCTGTAACAAGCCCTGCACTGTGGCTTCAAAATCCAAAGGCACATTATCTCTGGTAGGTTAACCAAGATGCATTTATTTTTCTCTAGCAGCCACCAAAGTGACTCTGGAAGTACAGCATGATCAGTATGGTGACTACACTTTTAAAGCTCAGGAGACTTGTATCTTCAGTGACYTAGGTGAACTCACAACATGACTGATAAAACCAAAGGCCTGATGCTAAAGTTTCCAAGGCATTTGGGAAGATTATTCATGTCAATATAAAACATTCAGAACTCTTAGGAATGAAATTCCTGGAGGGGAAAAAAAAAAGGTTAATCAAGTGAAGAATATCCAACAGGTTTTACTCTTCTGGCTTAGCTGCAGCTTTGATACAGGATCAACAGATTTCTCAAGTCAACCARTCCTTCAAGAAAGGGGAGATGGTGCAAAAGGTACCAAAAAGAATATCACACTCTCATGAATTACAATTCAACTCTTTTATTCAATTCTCCATGTTAGTAGGACAGTGATCATGACACGTTAATGCCACGTGGTCGTCACTCCATTCCACATCATTGCTGGTCCATCCCTTCTTCCCTTCATTGTGAAGGAGGCATAATCGAAAGGCTAAGTGTTCCCACGAGAAGCAAGAGAGGGCCTCCTGCTGCTGTAGAAAAACCTAAAGAAATAAACCATTGAAGAAGTTAGTCTTTGCCCCAAAATATGAACGTCAGAAATGCAAGCAGTCATCATAAAAAAAGATCTCTGTAACCAGCACCTATCTGGTTTCCTTGAYAGCTGCACCACAGACACACCAATGACTGAGCCATGGGTACCAAATACCTCTTCTGATCTTGSAAAAGGCCTTTCCATGTCAAGGAAGGAGATGTAGTGAAGGTTGCATTCTAAAGATAAAATCTAGTTCCTGTTACCTTTCCAGTGGGTAGAGTTCAATCTCTGCAACCGGTGATCCAGCATCTTYCACACGCATTAGATTCCTGTGGAAATATTTCACGTGGAGGAAAAATCGTGTAAAAGTTTAGCAAAGTCAAACTGCAGACTTTTCCTGACTAGTTCTCTCACTGATAAAGCTTCAGTATCTGCCATCCTGTAAACATTTGGGCAGACAAGCATTCCTACATCACATTACAACTGCACTACCCCTCCCATACAATGTTGTGAAGATGGGTAGGAAGAGTAACCCTAACATTTGTGTTGTTTCTGTTGCCTTGTGCTTGTTAGATGTATGGGAAAATATATACACAAGCACACCATGTTTCCTCCTTAAACWCACAAAATTCAAGTTTCAGGCTTAATGCACAATACCACTGAACAGAAACAATCTAAAGACTACCAGGCAGTGCTTTGCACAGGGTAAGGAGGGGAAACTGCACACACCCTCTTGGACAAACCACACTTGTTGTAAATGAAATATGTATAGAGAAGACRTATATACAAATAGTCAATGTGCCATTCCCATTCCTCATCAAAGTATGACTGAAACATTCATCTGGACTCCTGGCCTCCCACGACATTCATATGACAGAACCGAAAGGACACTTGTGCATAGGGCTACTGCTTAGTCTTCTCTCTCTGATTCAGAGCACCTTCCTGTTCAGTCCATGTAACACCATGGACAGTTTTCACCTCTCCAGTTCCTCCTTCCCCAAAATCTAAGTATTTTGTAAGACAGATAAACTTAGCATCAAGGAAGCTCAGTAGTATCACAGCTTCCAGGAAATCTGAATAGAAGAAATGCATGACTGGCCAAAGAGGTAGCAAAAAATGGGTTACTGGCTTATGTAATACAGATCTTTCCTCCCTCTCTAGCAACAAATTCTAATTYGTGCAAGAGGGATTGTTCTAATAAATTCTGAAAATTAGCCATTATGCCTGGAAATCTACCAATGTGATAATTTTTATTATTAATTTGATATATTACAACAATGAATGAGGTTCAGGTTGGACATGAGGAGGAATTTCTTCACAGAAGGGTTGTCAAGCATTGGAATGAGCTGCCCAGGCAGGTGCTGGAGTCACCATCCCTGGAGGTGTTTAGGAAAAGACTGGATGTGGCACTCAGTGCCATGGTCTACCTGACAAGATGCTGTTCATTCAAAGGCTGAGAYTTGATGATCTCAGAGGTCTGTTCCAACCTAACTAATACTGTGATTCTGTGAAATTAGGTTTTTGCTATTACAACACTTTATTGAAAAAAAATTCCAATGACCTCTAATAAAACATTTCTTTTTCATTCCTGTATTAAAAACCTCAATTATATTGCAATTTGTCTAAGACAAAAATGTTTTTTCTTAGCCATTCTGTTTCCTATAGAAAAAGATAACAGAACAATATATTTAACCACCCAAACACACTTCCCTCCTTCCAAATAAACGAAAAATTATCTATTACCCTAAGACAGAATACTGTACATAGCTGCATACAGCAGCCTGCCTCCAAATAAAAAAAGCAGACACACAGAAATTCACATAAATCTTTTATAAGCCCTTCACACACAGAGACTTGGCAGAGCTTAATACACTGACATATTACTATGCTGACTGTATATTCTAGTAACACTTGTACTGTTTCTAAAGGGAACAAAAAAGGGCTGCAGAAATACCTTGAAAATGCTTTCCATGAGTGCAATGTAAATGTTACCTTTTTTATCAGCCTAATCCATCACCTACTATTCTGTCAGCATGAGAAACCTATCCATTCCTTCCTTTCACAAACACAGCACCCCTTGCCTGCCTGTGGAGGTCTATGACAAGAATGGAAAATAATCTGTCTTCTTCAAATCTCTACCACATCAAAGCTGCAGAAAACAGGATGCTTTGCTTTGTCACATCTAAAAGAAAAAAAAAAACACCAAAATTCTTTTGTATTGACAGCCACATGGAGAACTGTGGAGGATCTGAAAGTGCTCTACATGCCTTCTTGTTTATATATAAAAAAAAACTCTTTCCTGACCAGTTGACTCTTAAGTCACCTCAGTCTCTGCTCACTAAAAAAAGCTGACATATATTTAGATGCCTCTATCTCCTATTACACCGAGAAGCAACAGGAATATTGGGGCAAAAAAAGCCCATGTTCAGGGYCAGATGAACACTCTTCCTCCCAAATGTTACTGTCATGTCAACTCAGTGCAGTAACACCTTTAATCCACATGACATACCCATTTAAGGAGGCAGGTGCTACAGTCAGTTTGTGTATCAATGAACTTTCAGCTCTCCTCTTCAAGATACAGTTGCCAAAGGCCAGTATGCATTGCATATATTATGTACAGAAAGTCTGATGAGATTCCTCCTTACAGCAGCAGCTGGGAATGCTCAAGATCAGCAAAAGCTGCTTTCCTGCCTTATCTCTATCTCTGATGACAGACTAACATAGGCTTCAGACTCCYTTGCCTCTACTACCAGAAATTACCTTCTCTTCACTACATTTCCAGACTGACTGGATTTAAAACCCTTTTCCTATGAGCTTCATCTCACATACAGACTTTGCTCATCATTATTTAACAACATTCTAATCAATTCTCCATCCAAAATATTTTCCACTTTGCACATGCAATCTCCTTTCACTCTGTAAAAATTCAGTTCTGGGATTTCCAGCCTGTGGTCCACAGAATACTTACTTTCAAAGGCTATATGATAACTGAGAAGCTAATGAGAAAAGCACACCAGTTGTCCACAGTCCTAAGCAGCACCTGACCTGCACTGGAGACTATTTAGTTGCCTGGATATCAAAATTCAGATCTAGCTCAATTCCCTTAAGTGCTGTTCCTGATTTTAGTGTGACTACCCCAACAAGCAACAGAATTTGGAATTTATCAACTAATACTTAGATGTAAGTGAAGCAGAAACATTTATGAAAATACAAAAGCTGTATTCTGAATATTGGTATATATTCTGTACACTATTTCTTTTTCCCAATCCACTTGGASATGTTTCTCCTTATTTTCAGCTGATCCAGATTCAAACTTCTCCTAGGTCAGAAAGTTCATCGATGCTTCCATAATCTGCTGTTCTCTCCTCCTACTTTCTTTTCAGAAGGAGAAGCCTTCCTACTGGAGAGACAAAATTTTAATCTCTAATTGGAGAATTACTTAAAATTGATATTCTGGRGAATTACGTAAAATTGATGTTTTGTTATTGTGGAACATCCCAATGACATCTGGAACAGCAAGTATTTATGGTGTCTACATTGGTGGTCTCCAAATGGAGCCCATGATCCCCAGGGAGCTTTGCAAGATAATCCGTAAGGCTGAAGGGTAAAAATGTTTTTTTCACCATTAATMAATACAGTCAAGTAAATGTTTCAAAAACACTCTTCATTTCATCTTTATCTCAACCTTTTTTAACTTCTTGGATTTACGTAAGTTTTACACTGCATGTAAGTAACACATGTATGTAACTTGTAAAAAGTGTTTATTGGGGTGAATGTTCAAGATGTTTTTTTCTGATGGGGATCTGCAATCACAGAAATATTAGAGTTATCTGATTAGAGAACTGAAAAGGTTCTCTACCAACTCATAACAACTAAGTCAGAAACATTAYGTATTTTGTAGTTCGCACTTACAAAAAGAATGTTAACTGTTGGTGATTTGAACCTTTCTTTTCCTACCTTGAGTKTAGGAAATATCCATATATAACACTGCTCTTTATTCTCATGGCATTTCTAAGGCATRTGTATGTATAAACATCTATGCTGCTCTTTAGCAAAATAAACAGTAGGGCTCTCCGCCTATGAGGCTGATCACTGGCTGACAGTAAGGATGCTCTTTAACTTCATAAAATAAAATTCCATAGGACTGCAGAATCTTCCTCATTTATTGATTGGTTTTTAAACAAGRTAACAATAAACAAGGTTACAAGAAACATTTCACCAATGGCACAACTATGATCAGTCTTCCTGGGGAGTAGAGAATGATTGGGCTAGGTAAATTCCTTTCAGCCTTACTTTTCCAGTATTCTCAATATGTGGCAATTTTGGTGAAGTCTAATTTCTTAAGACACACACTGAGCCTTATAAAGGCAGAGGGGAAACTGGAACGTTGAATCAAAGAATTAAGACATCAGGTAACCAAATACCAACTGAGACAGAACAATGTGCCTCTTGCATTACTGGCAGTCTTTTGATGGTCAGAATTCTGTAAATCAGACTCACCATTCAAAGGGACAGTTCAGGGACTCTGCCTCTCTTCTCCATTCCCCTTACTCCCGTTAGTATTTTGCAATCCATTTCTCCCAGTACTGGAGGTTTCTCAGGTCACAGTCATGACTTTCTTCTGCTGCTGCTGCCACCTACCAGTTTTATTATTCTGTTGCAGCAGAAGGGCATATAGAAGAAGTTCTTGTTCAGCATGCACATAATCATCATCCCTTGTCTAAGAAGTCATGGCCTATTTAAATTCTACATTTCCCCATACACTAGGCAAAGCACTGGGCACAACCAAGATCAATACAAGGCTTTGAAAACCATTCCAYAAAGAAGAAGGAGTGTGATCTGTAAAACCACCTTTCAAGCAACATTAAATATTAAAACATTAACTGTTGCAGAATGCAGTACATTTTGGTTAACTCTCCCCACCAAAGATCAATTGCAGACTCTGCAAAGAACTAGTACTGTATTCCTTTCAAGAAAATCTTCACYAAATATATATCTAAAATCAGGTTAGAGAAGCAAAACTGTGATCCAAAGCAAATTAATTAATAAAACTGAGGAAAATAAATTCTTATTTTTAGACATTATTACAAACCCCCAAAAAACACCCAACCACATGCCTGAAAGTGTTACACCCGTGTCCTATAGCAGCTGATGCACAAAAATATACACAAATAAAGGAATAGGCCTGCCCAATGCTGAGACGCAAGAAGTGGGTGTGTCTGAAAGGAAAAAGCATTGGAAACGTAAGTATAACAGGTTTGCAAAATTACCTTGCAAGTAAAATTAAAGACACAAATTATACACTCAATTATACCAGGGAAATCAGGTATCACTCCACTGACTTTCACAGAGTGATTCCAGGTTTATCTCAGTGTAATTGAGAGCAAAATTTGGCTCTAAAATTATTCCCTCCCACCTTGACTTGAAGCTGCAATTTATTATGTTGCTGTTAAGTTTGCTGTCAGGAAAATATAAACTGAGACTGTGAAAAATACTATTTTATGATGATATAGAGGAGTAATTAAWGCACACAGAAAAATAATCTGAAACAAGTGCTAATTCTTTACAGATGTCGTGGGAAATATAATACTGCATCAGAAAACTTGGAAGCCTTTTTGCAGAGGCTTGTATTCTTCAACTTGGAATGGTATTCCAATTGTCTGATATTTCACCTCTGAGTAAAATACCAGAGTCTCCTCCTTAAATTAGGTAAAATAATATTAAGTACCCAGTAATTTTACACGGTTTGAGATTAAGGGGGAGAGTTACCAGAGAAGGTAAAACGTACAAGTGCTTTGATATAAGATCAAGAGCAATATAAAACGTGTCACCCCAGCCTCCACAAACAGAAATAATCAGCCCAACAGTCTTTTTCTTCAGCACACATACTTGTCCATCTGTCTTCTTTACAGGATCCTGCTCTATTGAATTTTAATAGATTCTTAGCATTAGTTTATCATTCCTATCAACTACTAACTTCTGCAGTTACATTTTTTTGTTCACTTAGCAAATGGACAGCAACATATCTTTCAAAAATCTAAGCTAAAATAGCACACTTGAAGACAAACTACCTAGAATTGATAGAGGAAGTAGAATTAATTATTACAAAACTATCCCTCATACTGTTGCATGGGGGACTCACTTTTGTCTCACCTGAGCAAAGCAAAGCACAACGACAGTTTTCTTAAAAGTCAACAAGTATAAGGAGGAGAAATAAGGAAGTAAAGCACAATTTTCTCTAAACCAGGTTAAAGAAACTGTTCAACAAGTATCACCAAAATGAACTGATGGGAAGAAAGGAAAGCAGACAAGTTAGCAAGCTTGTGAAGGTTAGMGTAAGAGCAGAAAAGTGTCAATTTACCTGACAACAGGTCGGTTTTGGATGTCACCAAACTGCTGCGTTTACCATTTTACCCRCTTGCATTACTGGGGGGAAAAGTTTAGGAAGGAACATTCGCAAGGATTTTTCATAAGTTCTCACTCTTGCCATCAGAAAGGGGAGAAGGGGTTTTCTCTGGATTGTTTGACTTTTTTGGCTCCTGAAAAGTTTTGCAAAGAACAGTAACAAAGTGTGAACTGTTAGAACACATTTCTATAAAAAAAAGGGAGAATAACTCACCCAAAACAGTGCAACAACAAATCCCACCCAAAACCCGCACATCTAATTCGTACCATTGTTTTAAACAAATAAACAAAACAAAATCTTTTCAACTCAAATTAGAAACATGAGAGGCTTGGAGACTTCCAACAGCAGGCCAAGATCCACCATCAGAATGCTCCAAAAGTCACCCTCAAAGGTTAAGAAAGATTTAAAGAAATAAAACAAAGGAAAAGGCAGCAAACACCTGGTTTTAAATCCTGCAGTGTTCAGTTTAAAACAATTCCTAGAACAGTGAAAAAATTAAAAATTAAAAAAGACAGTAGCAACAGAAGTTACCTGTCCGAGCACCTACTATTCCATAGAGAGAACAGGAGTGGTCGTGTGTCTCACACCAGCCATAAAGCTCATAAACCTTCTCAAAAAGAGTGAGCCATGAGAAAGATACTGTACATGCRATCTGTTTCCAAAGTCTCTCTAAGCCCTTATGATCCCTTACGTATTTAACTGACAGATTTTTGCAATGAGTGAATTTAGTGAGTGTCACTCGTTTAATTTGTTGGATTTTGTAGTCCGGTATAACGTCTGAAGAAGTATCTCCTTTGCGTCTGACATACCCACATGTTCCAGAGGTCATTTCCTGAGTAAATATCACATGGCAAAGATAGCACACGAAGTGGGAGAAAATGCTTCAAGAGTGACCATCAACTCAGAACAAAAAATGTAACAGTCAATATAAGCATCAAGCATTGACACTGTTTTACAGATGAGGTGTTCTAACATTACAGGAAAAGATTTTATCAAACACATTAAAGCAACAAATACAAGGATTAAGATACAATCCAAACACTGACAGCAATTACAAACACAATAAATTGAACAGAAGAAAATCTCCAGTGTTACAAAGAACAATGTTTCATCAGATGTAGTTTAAGAAACGTATTGTTGCAAACAAGAGTTTCTGACTGGCTCTTTCAAACATTAAAATACAGAAAAACAGTTGTATCACCARCAGCTGTATTGGCACTATTGTAATCCATCACTATGTTGACCATTTTTTCAGCACATGCTTCCAAACCCACATATGGAGGTAGTGTTAGTGCAACTGTATGGAAGTTTACCATGTGATTTTCAGCAGATGGAACTGAAAAAAATAAAGTGTATAAAGCTGGCATCTGTGGAGTTCACCTTCAATGGGAAACACTACCTGRTTATCATGGACTAGTTTTGTTGGAGTTTTTTTGTTTTGTTCTCCTTTAAGTAAAAATAAGACACCTCTCTTTTATCTCCAGGCCATTTTTTACATTTCACTATTTCAGGAGCAATGGGTAAGTAAGGAGTAAGTACATGAGACAAGTGTGCCCATTTGTACAAATGAACCCTGAAGCAAGATCTTCATGCAGCATYAATACCCAATGTTCAAACAAATGTACACGAAGTTTCAAATCCTCTCTCCCTCTGTGACCACTATGCATAGACTTATCTCCAAACCAGGAATGGAAGCACCAACCAGAGGAGCAACTTATCAGCAGGGAGTCAAACTGCAAATCTCTCAATCCACCTAGTCTTTTAAAAAATCTTATGTTGACTTCCCAAATTTTACAACTGTGAGGTGTAACCTAGACATTCTGAAAGGGTGCTAGAAATGTATGGCTTCTGTGAGCTACAAGATACCATGGGAACTCAAAAAAACAAGCCAGAACATTCAGTTAACAGCTCTTTCCTCTAAAAGATGTTTCCTGTGATAGAAACACAAAGGCCCCAGTATACCAACYAGCACATGTTTACTCCCTGCTGTTATTCCACATGTGCTCAATGTATGTCACAGCTAGAGAGGGAAGGATTTATCCTATCAGACTCTCAAGGACTGCAGACCAGCAAAACAGAAGAGACCTGAAAAAAAAAAAGGGCCACCCTCCACCCCAAATTCCCCTTGGATAAACAAACAAAGGAAGWAGAGCTCTTTGAAGAGACAGTTTACTGCTCAGTGACTAGACATTAGGTTACTCTCACGTTCTGTCATTCTGTAACTCTTCATGGAAGCTGAAGACCTTTATATTCTTCAGGTTTAACCTGTGCATGTGAAGGCTCAGGAAGAAGGATTTGAAAATACCTTTACAGCTGAAGATCCTTTTTTGTCTGGACCAGCTGGTCCACTCTCCTGCTTAACACCAACAGTCAACCTTTCACTTGATTTTAATAATAATATTTAATTCTACAAAAAAAAAGAACCATTTTATTACATTCCTTTTAAAATAAAAATAAAAAAAAAACAAACTGTACAAAGAAGCATGATCAAACCTCCATAAAGCAGGTTAATACTGTTCTGTTTATTGCCTCTTGAAGACTCTCTGCATAGTGTCCATGAGTTGTGTTTAAGGTCCAAGTGAAGGTAAAACAGCAGAGCAGCAGAGAGGTGAGGAAGGGCCACAGAGGTGGGCAGTGCAGAACCTCAGAAGGTACATGGGACATGCTCCATTAAAGTATCCAGAAAACAGCAGCATTGCACACACACAACCCCCCTCCAAACAAACCTATTTTCACAAGATGATTTTTCAATTGTAAACGTTTTACTTTTTGTTTTTAAAAAAGAGGCTTTTCTTTATATATATATTTATATATATATATAGTTCCAGGGCTTTATGAACCCCAAGAATAAGAGGGGAATAAAAAGGGAGGAGAAGGAAAAGGAGGAGGAAGACAGGGTCTGGAAAATGGACTCAGTATCTGTTTTGGTTATCTATTTTCCAAACCAGCTCAAGGCTAATGAGAAAATGCACAGCCAGAAGGATTCAGGAAAATCAGGAAGTCTGGAAAAAAATCAGGAGCTAAACAGCCAACAYCCTCAAAAAAATAAAGCAAAAAACAAYTGCACACACACAAACACACACGAGTGTGTGCACTCACATCACACACATGTAAGGGTCCAGGATCAATCTCTTAATAGTTTGTGGACCTAGGGGTTTTTTTGGGGTTTTTTTTTTCTTTTTTTTTTTAACTCTG